CACCAATCAGAAAGAATATATGTACTCCCATCTTTGTAGCAGCACTATTTACAATTGCTAAGATCTGGAAACAGCCCAAGTGCCCATCAGTAGACGAATGGATTAAAAAGCTGTGGTACATATACACAATGGAGTACTATGCAGCAGTAAGAAAGAAAGATCTCTTATCCTTTGAGACTACATGGAGGGACCTGGAAAGTATCATCCTAAGTGAAACAAGCCAAACAGAGAAAGACAAATTTCATATGATCTCACTGATTTGTGGAATATAATGAACATAACAGTTTGAGGACAATCCCCTAAGGAGTGGGGAGGTGAGAGAGGGATGAACAACAGAATTTATATGCATGTAGGCATGAACAGTGGACATGGACAACAATCGGGGGAAGGGGCAGGGAGGGAAGGGGGAGGGGGGAATCAGTGGGGGGAAAAAGGAGAATCATTTGTAACAAAAATTAATCAATAAAAAAAAAAAAGACTGAATCAAAGGAAAGATTGATAATATATATATATATATATTTTTTGTCACCAGTGCCCAGGTACTCACAGCCAGGCAGGGGTGTATCCTTATTGGGGTGCAGTAGGATAGCATGGAGGGAGGAGAAAGGAACAAGAGAGGTGTGTTACATGGGGAGTTTATAGTCTGGGGTAGGCTGGGTAATGAGGGGTCTGCTGGGAGGTGAGGAAGGCTGTGGGGTCCACACTGAAGGCCCCCAAGAGGGTGAAGGTTGTTTAATCAGAGAGACTAGAAGGAGGGAGCTGGCTGAACCTTGCAGTGTTGAGGTGTTGACAGAGGGGAATGTACAAGCGGACATCATGGAGGGGCAGGTGCTTTCCTTTGGTTGGAGGCATGACCCTGTGCAAGGTGATGCTCAGGTGATCAGGAGGAAAACAACGCTGAGGTCTGAGAGACTCCAGGGTTGACCTAGTGAGGTTTGTGGGCACTGATATCACCAGGTTTCCCAAGAATGAAGACTGAGAGGAGGTAGGTGATTGTGCCAAGGGACCAGAGTGTTCACAGGCTAGGGCCAGCGGTGGGCGGCCAGGGAATTGGCACAGGCCCCACATACGGGGCTGCTAGGTCAATTGGGTAATAGGACCTGAACATCACGTGCCCTCCCATGAAATGACAGTTTGCAATAGGGTCTCAGAAGAAACTTCTAGCTGAGTTTGGCGGGCGAATAGTACCTCCCTCACTATTCACCCAACTGTAGGTCTACAGCCCCTCACTGGAAATGCATCCCCGCCTCCTCTGGGGTGGGTTCTGATATTGTTAGGGTTCCGAGGGCGGGACTAAGGAAGAGGTGGTGGTTGTGTTCTTTTGCAGAGGTCCCTTGGGGTCATCGCAGTTTATTCTAAACATCACTGTCCTTGGGCAAGTGTCCTGATTAATAGTCTGTGGAGGTTTTTTGTTTTGGTAGATTCATCATTAACCAGGAATTTTCTTCGAACACTGAGGACTCCGAGTTTCTATGGACAGCAGGGGGCAGTATGGAAGCCTGAACTCATTTCTACCCCTCCTTTTGTGTTACAAAAAAAGGCTGAGAGCCATTTCCAGGAGAAATGGTTCAATTTTCAGCAGCTGAGCTGGCTTTTTCCTTCCTAGGGCTGAACTGCTCCCTCCTTTGCAGAGCTTACTGAAAACTTGGTGCCTTGGTTCCTTAGCATCATATATTTCTGCTTCTCTGAATGATCTTCCCATTGGTTTTTATTAGTATATTTTTCAGTTTCCCTAGTTGCTCACAACTCCATGTAGGAAATTAGCAGGACTAACATATAATAAAGTAATCTAAACTAGTTTTATCACACCATCAATGACCATTAATAATTTGTGATGCGCCCTGGCTAGTTGCTCAGTGGTTAGAGCGTCGGCCTGGGGTCCAGAGAGACGGGGGTTCGGTTCCCGTTAAGGGCGCGGACCTCGGTTGCAGTTGTCCCAGGCCCTGGTTGGGGGTGGTGACCACTTGGTGTGTCCCTTTCGCGGCGATGTTTCTCTCTCTCTCTCTCTCTCTCTCTCTCTCCCTCCCTCCCCCCCCCCATTCTATCTGAACACAAAATGAAAAAATGTCCTCAGGTGAGGATAAATAAATAGATAAATAATTTGTGATGCATTTCTTTGGTGGTCTTCCCATTCATAAAGGTGCATTGCACACAGAATGAGATTCATATTGCATTGTGAATCAGCTTTTATTAAACTCAGGTTTTTACCATGACTTATCTGTTCTAAAAATCATTTGAAAGGACTGGAAGAATTTTTCTTCATTTCTCTTCTTAGTAGTCTATGTAGTCTTAAACAGTGAAAATGCGATATTTGATAACTGAGAAAGCAGAAAAAAACCTGTGAGTACTATCTCAAAGGGAAACACCATACTGTACTTTCCTAAGGACAGGAGCTCTATTTTTTGCTTTGTATTTGTTTAACATTGTATTTTCAACATAGGAAATCCACTTGTTTTGTGTGTCCTCCAGCGTCCTGACTTTACTGGCCCCATGATGAGCACCAGCTTCTCCCTTCTTCCTGTCCAGTGGGCCTGGGAATTTACAAAACCCACTGAGATTTGTCTTATGTTCACTCTATTATTTTTCCTTCAGGCTATCAAGGAAATTCTTCTGACTCTAGTCATTAGGGAAGACAGAAAAGACAAAAGAGGAGTAGTTACCCACTTTCAACATGATTTGCATATCACCTTCATTTTTACATCCTTGTGATAATTCTGTATGCAATATAGGATTGGGAAGTTTTTATGGTTCATATTTGGTAATTCATATATTTTTTTCATTCAACTTTGCCTGCACTGAACCAAACGTATCTTCCACTACTCCTCCATGGTTTTTGAAATATTTTTAAAAAATGCTGTGAAAACTTTTTGAATAAATCTATGCCCACATTTTAGACAATTTGCCTTGTACAGAATCCTACAAGCTGACACATAGGGCCCATTCCTTTAACCAGGAACATAAGCCAGGGCCTGCAATGTTCTTTCCTATGAATACGGATAATTAAATTTGATAATTAACTAAGCTCAGAGGTGGAATGTGTGTTGTATTGTTTTAAAATGATTTCTTAATATTTGCAAGATTCAATATCAATTTCATATATTTAATACCTATGTCTTTATTTTAAATCTTCCTTGTATAAAAAAATTAATGAGAATTCATACATGGTGATTTAATTATTTTTATTTTTATTTTATCCTCACTCGAGGACACTTTTCCACCTTTTATTCACATAGAGCTGGAGGGAGAGAGAGGAAGTGAGAGAAACATCGACGTGAAAGGGACACATCGAGTGGCTGCCACCCACACGACCCAACCAGGGCTGGGGACAAACTGCAACCGAGGTACGTGCCCTTAGCGGGAACCGAACCTGGGTCTCTCCGGACCGCAGGCCAACGCTCTAACCGCTGAGCCAAACCAGCCAGGGCGATTTAATTATTTTTAAATGGGTACTTAGGAAAATAAGAAAAAATGAGAAATAAGAATTAGAAAAACAAAATGACAAAAAGGATAAAAACAAAATGCTGTTGGCCATAAGTGAAATTAATTCACTAAGTGATTTCCAATGTGCCTTTTTCCTTTTCACTCGGACAGGAATGCTCCTCACCTGGGCCACCCACTCACATCTACTCAGGCCTGCAGCTGTGTCCTGTTCAGACAGACCATCCCAGCTCTGATCACAGACAGAAGACCAGAGAACAGACTGCTCCTTCAGCTCCCTACACAGGCCTTCTTGACTCAATTCCCAAAGTTTGTACATCCCTGGGCTTCCTTTCCAAAAATAATCAGCTGATAAAGAAAGGACTTCATCTTGTCTAACAGGACACTCTGTAAAATACTTACACCAGACCCCAGTTTGCCTTGATTCAAGCCCTGACGACTTAATTTTTTCACTTCTTTTCCCTGCTGTACATTTTTGGTTACTTTCCATAACCCTCAAAATGTAAAAATCAACAAGGCCTACAAAAACAGCTTTCAAAGAACTATTCTGACAGCAGTTGCCATGAGATTACTCCAAGGACCCAAGAGGCATGAAGCTGAACCAATTCCCAGCCATTCCAATGACACATCTGAAACAGCTAAAAGAAACAGAACCCTGAGGAATAACACAGTCATGGACCTGTGTTCTCCTTTCCCTGTACATGGACTTCTCATCCCCTTTTCCTATCCGTGTATTCTCTTCACCTTTCCCTGTACAACCAGCACTTGGCTACATCTAAGAGCTACCTGGTCTTAGAAAGTCAAACATCAACAGAATGAAGCCATTAACTCCTTCGAATCGCTCTTACTAGATTTTTTTCTCCCCAACTACTACCACTAATTTCACTGCAATTTTCTAGCATCCACAGCAAGGAGTTCTACAGGTCCACTTGCATGAATGACAGTCACTAGTGGTGGATAGAAAATTTCAAGGCAAGCACCAGTGTTCCTGACAATGAGATTCCAGGGAACACTCTCCCCAGAGACATCATAGGGCTCCTGTTATACAGACACTCTAAGCAGTGATCTCTCTAGGGAGCAATTTCCCTTCTCATCTGTTAAATGAGGATAATTAGACTAACCCACTAGATAAGGTTTCTGTCATGAATGGTCCACAGTACATGCAAAGGACATAGTGGGGTCCTGACACATAGTTTATACTCAATATATCTCACTCATATGAGTTCACACCACCTAAGAGCACAAGCTGTGAAATCATAATTTCAGGGGGACTAAAGATTTCCCTACATATCTATATTAGAAACAAACTGTGTCTGTGCCAAAAGAATACAGTCACACATACTATAAAGTAACAAATATAGTCAGCGTTCGTTTATCATGGATAATCAGCTGCAGACTCTACTGCCGTAAATGAATGTCCGCGAAGTGGGTGCTTTATTTATACAGTCACCTTCGCCACGTCACGCTTCACCGTTCCCGGCGTCAGTCTATCTCGGATTTTCAAATACGTTACTACACTGGGCAAACCTCCATCGAGTGAAGCCCCGAACGTGGACCCGCGAAGTGGCGAGGGACGACTGCATGAGAAAAAAGTATGACTTGCTATTTGGAAAAAATATAGAAAACTCAAGAAGGAAAACAAAAGGAGTCAAATTTCTATAGAGTTTCTCATTCATCTGATCTTTTCATTACCACAAAGGCAGATATAGTAACTTCACAGCGAGGGGACCTAAGCTTAGAGCTTATTTTTAGTGTCTGCTACTCCTGGGGATGGCCCAGTCAATTCATATTTATAATCACACTCCTCTCCATTCTCCCTTTCATGTCTGCAGAACTGAGCACAGAGGACATCTTAGAGATCATGTAGACAGGGGATATGGAACTCTTTGTCAAAATAAAATAAATGTTTACTGGAATGAATTCCAATACACATACAAAAAAAGAGGAGTTTCTCTACTGGGAGCAGGGTCTGTGCCACCACATCCTTTCCTAAGTGAGCCCCCTGTTCAACCAATTACTTAAGGAAGACTCTTCTGGAAACTGAGGAAACAGTAGGCCCAGACAGCAAAGAAACTTTGCACAAAACAGGAAGGCTCCTAGAGCTGGAACTGGGAGTTCTCTGGAGCCCGGGCCCAAGGCCCTCCAGGAGGAAAATACTAGGGAAGAAGTGCATGTCCCATCAAAGGATGCCTCTATGGTAAAGAAGTTGTCAATATAAATGAGTTCAAATTATTTGTGGACACCAGTGTTTAAAATGAAACTATTTGGGCCTGGCCGGTGTGGCTCAGTGGTTGAGAATCGACCCAGGCACCAAGAGGTCACCGGTTCAGTTTTCAGTCAGGGCACATGCCCAGGTTGTGGGCCCGATCCCAGGTGGGGGGCGTGCAGGAGGCACTTGAGCACTCTCCCATTGATGTTTCTATGTCTCTCTCTATTCTCTCTTCCTCTCTCTCTAAAATCAATAAAGGAAAAAAAATTTTTAATGAAAGTATTTGGTAAGAAACATGGAAAGTTTTTCAGTTCTGTGAGGCCTGCCAAAGCAGCATCAGAAGGATATGTGGGACTTGGGGAGAGAAAGGCCCTTGCAGTCAGACCAGGCTTCCTTCATACACACCACTCACTGTCAGAGGACCCTGTTCCCAACTCCAACAGCATGTCAATCTCTGACCGACCCTCTTAGTACATGTTCAGTGTACTCTCTTTAAAAAAAATTTTTTTCTTTATTGATTTTTAGAAAGAGAGTAAAGGAGAGGGAGCTAAAGAAACATTCATGAGAGAGAACATGGATTGGCAGCTTCCTGCATGCCCCCCACTGGGGATCGGGCCCACAACCTGGGCACATGTTCTGACCAGGAATAGAACAGGTGACCTCTTGGTGCATGGGTTAACGCTCAATCACTGAGCCACACTGGCCTGGCCAGTGTACTCTCTTTTTAATTTTTTTCCCCTTTTTTATTTATTGATTTTAGAGAGAGAGGAAGGGAGACAGAGAGAGAAACATTGATGAGAGAGAACATCAACTGGTGGCCTCCTGCATGCGCCCCACTGGGGATTTGGCCCACAACCTGGGCATATGCCCTGACTGGGAATCGAACCTGCAACCTTTTGGTGCATGAGTCAATGCTCAACCACTGAGCCGCCCTGGCTGGGCACCAGTGTACTCTCTTTATGCACCCTGCCCCTCACCACAGGACACACATCAGCCGTCCAAGGTGGCAGACTAGGGCGACTGCAGTTTTTAACCACTGGTCCAAATCACCTTAGGATGTGCTGCAGAATTGAAGTTCTATGAAGTGAATGTGCTGCAGGCAGGGTCCTTCTGAAAAGACCCCCAATGTATTGACAGGTGATTGTATTGACAGGTGATGAAAACAGGGAGCAACAATAAAAGATGCCCCATCTCTACCAAGGCCATTCTGTGCTACTTCTTGTTCACTTAACTCCCATAGAAGTTTTTATGGAATGAAGGAGAGAGACTTGAAACTGGAAAGACTCAGGCTGTGTCCTGAGTCTATAACCAACAAGCAAAATGTACTTTTGTTAGTCAACTTACTTGGCTGAGGTCAGAAAATCTGATTTCAAGAAATACTAATGACATATGGATCAGATGAATAAATGGTGAAAACATTTCACATATTTCCTGGGCACCCCCTAAGTGCTGGGCCCTCCTGGCGCTGAGGGTAGAGAGCAGCAGACATCACTGCAGCTCCTGCCCTCACGGCCTGGCCTGTGCTGCTGTCTTGGGAACACAGGTCACTGCATCTTCCACTTTACATTACAGAAACTCTCAACAGTTTACAATATGTCTCCAATATTTTTCAGAAAGATAAACTACTTTCCAAAATGTATAGCTGGGTTTTAAAAGAGTAGATTGAAATCTTGATGCAAAAACGAACCTTGCCCTGGCCGGTTTGGCTCAACGGTTAGAGCGTCGGCCTGTGGTCTGGAGACACCTGGGTTCAGTTCCCGCTAAGGGCACGTACCTTGGTTGCAGTTTGTCCCCGGCCCTGATTGGGTTGTGTGGGTGGCGACCACTCGATGTGTCCCTTTCACGTCGATGTTTCTCTCTCTCTCTCTTCCTCTCACTCTATCTGAACAAAATATCGAAAAATGTCCTCCGGTGAGGATAAAAACAAAAAAACGAAACTTAATGCACTTAAAAGCACCTTGTTTTTGATGAAAAATCTCTAAGAAATTTATCACAAAATACTGGGTTATGTTTGTTTGTTTTGTTTTTAATCCTCACCTGAGGACATTTTTGCATTTATCCTCAGGTAGAGTGGGAGGGGGAGAGGGAGGACGAGAGAGAGAAACATGGATGTGAGAGAGACACATCAACTGGCTGCCACCCACAAGATCCCAACCGGGGCAGGCAGGCGACAAACTGCAACCTAGGTACGTGCCTTAAAGAACCTAACCTGGACTCTCGCGGGCCGATGCTCTAACAGCTCAGGCAAACCCGCCACAGCCACAAAATACTGTTAATGGTCAATACTGTGGTTTGAATTACTTCATTATATTTTATATGTCCTCCGGTTTTCCCCAGTGAGGTGTGCATGACTGCCATAACTGAAGTATATGTTCTTATTAAAGGCCCATAAAACTCAAAATGAGTTCGGGAAAGCCAATGACAATTCCCTTCAGAGAAGAGAAGTAAACGTTGCTAAGCAACCTACACAGTAGCTTAGAAGAAAGGACATTTCAAAAGGAAGGTGTTTCCATCTACAAAATAAAAGTTTTCACTGGAGAATTCAATAGAGGAATTACTCTGCGAAGGTGGTTGTTGACCCAGCGGAGGCTCACGTCAAACTTACCACTGATGTAAACACTCCGGCGAGTTTTTTGAATGACGAGGGGCGGGGCAGGAGGCGGCCTGCTGCGTGCACGATGCAACACTGCCCTCTGCCGGCCAGAGCGACAGAAGGCCGGAAACCCAACTACGTATCAATTTTCTGCGACGACGTTCCGTACGGAGTAAGAGACACCCTAGCTAGTGAAGTCAAGCAGGATGATGACCTGTATCAATAAATAAGAAAGAAGCTGCTGAAAAAGTCTAAGGCCATGTCCCTAGTTCTGACCTCGGAACGGCAGCAACAGATCCCGGAGCCAGTGCTGGGCTCCGAGTGGCGCGTTCTGAGCATGCGCTGAGCATTTTGTCGCGGTCGCTGCCGGTCTCTCAGCCAGTGTCCACTGGAGGTTTGGACCAGCGTCCAGGACACGGGATGAGAGCAGGAGTGAGGACGGGGTCTTCCTGCAGACCCAGTGCTACTTACAACCCCTGGCCCTCCCTCCTCACTTGAAAGCCTCTCCTCTGAGGTTCATGCCAACTCTCCCACTGCCATCTGTACAACAGTCCTCAGGACCCTTAGGAATTTCTGGTACCTGCATCTTGGGGTACTGTCTCTTGTTTTGGGCACAGTAGAGAATATACTGAAAATCAAACAAACCTCTGCTTCTAATACCCATGTCTTGATTCTTTGGAGGCCAAGTTTCTTGAAACTAGCCTCCAGTAGCAGTCCCTTTTGGTTACCTCTCTGTTCCTCCTCAGTGACAGTTCAAGACAGAGGAGTGATGATAGGTGCAGAAGCAAAGTCCCCGAGCAGGTGGGACCCATGGGACCCTGAGCACAGGCGGGGCTGGCTGCAGTCAGGAGCAGATACGCCCAGGAGCAGCAGAGATGTCAGGGCAAAACCAGGTCCATTGAGTTTGGGGAGCTCTGAGAAGTCACCCCTCATTGCTCCTGTCTTCTCACTGGAATGGAAGCGTGTTGCTAGTGAGTAAGGCAGCGGTGTAGGTAGGATGAGGGTGATAGAAGCAATGCTCTTCTGTTCATGAATTTAAGACAATTCAGGAGATTAAAATTTTTTGTCACCAGTGCTCAGGTCCTCAAAGACAGGCAGAGTTGTGTCCCATACTGGGGTATAGTAGGATAGTAAGGAGGGAGGGGACAGGAACAAGACAGGTGTGTTAGATGGATAGTTTATAGTCCTGGGTAAGCTGGGTAAGGAGAAGCCTGCAGGAAGGTGAGGAAGGCTGTGGGAGCCACACTGGAGGCCCCTAAGGGGATGAAGGGTGTTGAAGCAGAAAGACTAGAGGTGGGAGCTGGTTGACCCTTACACAGTGTTGAGGTGTTGACAGAGGGGAATGTACAAGTGGAAACTATGGAGGAGCAGGTGGTTTCCTTTGGTTCAAGGCATGACCCTGTGCAAGGTGATGCTCAGGTGATCAGGAGAACATTGAGGTTCAAGAGGCAGGCTCCAGGGTTGACCTAGTCAGGTTCATGGGCACTGGTATCACAAGGAGGTTTTCAAAAAGTGAGTGCTGATAGGAAGTAAGTGATTGTGCCAAGGGACTAGCATAACAAGCTAGGGCTGGTGGCCTGTGACCAGGGAATTCCCACAGACCCCATAGGTGAGGGTGGGGTGGTTTGGGTAGTAAGGCAACAGGACTTGGAAATCAGCAGTCCTGATATAAGATGCCAGTTTTCAGCATGGTCCCTGAGGACACTTCTAGTTTATTCAGGTTCAGAGACTGTGTCACTTTTCCTCCATATGCAGGCATAGAACCCTCCAGTCCAAATAAGGCCCAGATCCTCTGGGGTGGGTTCTGGGATCAGTATATTCCCTGAAACTAGCTCTGATTCCCAGGGCGGGACTAAGGAAGAGATGGTACTTGAGTTGTTTTGCATGGATCCCTTGGAATCCTCTACGCTTTTGCTGAACATCACTGTCATCACAAATGATGTACTGAACCATCTTCTGTCCTGTTTTCTTCTTTCCCTGAAATCCAGGAAAAAACAAAAATACTCTTCCAAGAACAATGGCACTGAGTTTCTGGGGTCAACAGGGGGCAGTATAGAACCAAGAAAACTTTTCTGCCCCTCCTTTTCTGTTTAAAAAAAAGGTTAAAGCCAGTTTTGAGAGAAATGATCATTCTTTCACCACAGCACTGGCGTCTTCCTTCCTGGAGCTTCAGGGCTCCCTCTGCAGAGCTTACTGAAGTCTTGGTCCTTAGCATCATGTTTTTATGCTTCTCTGAATGGTCTTCCCATTGGCTATAATCAGTGTATTTTTCAGTTACCCTAATCACTCACCTCAATGTAGAAAATTTGGCGGACTGATAATCTAAACCAGAGTTTTATCACCCAAAATGACCATTAATAATTTGTGATATGCCCTGGCCAGTTTGGCTCAGCAGGTTAGAGCGTTGGCCAGCGGTCCAGACAGACCCGGGTTTGGTTCCCACTAAGGGCACTTACCTCCTTTGCAGTTTGTCCCTGGTCCAGGTTGGGTCGTGCGCGAAATAGCCACTTGATGTGTCCCTTTCACGTCGGAGTTTCTCTCTCTCCCACTCTATCTGAACAAAAAATGGAAAAATGTCCTCGGGTGAGGATAATAATAATAATAACAACAATAATAATTTGTGATACATTTCTTTAGAGGTCTTCCCATCGATAAAGGTGCATTGCACAGAGAATGAGATTCATATTGCATTGTGACTTCAACAGCTTTTATTAAGCTCAGGTTTTTACCTTATCTGTTCTAAAAATCATTTGAAAGCACATGAAGAATATTTCTTCATTTCTCTTCTTAGTCTCTGTAGTCTTAAATAGTGAATATGTGATATTTGATAACTGAGAAAGTAGAAAAAACCTGTGACTACTATGTCAAAGGGAAATAGCATACTGTAACTTTCCTAAGGACAGGAGCTATATTTTCTGCTTTGTTTTTGTTTAACATTGTATTTTCAGCATAGGAAATCCACTCGTCTTGTCTGTCCTCCAGCATCCTGACTTGGTTGCCCCCATGGGGAGGGCCAAGGGTTCCCTTCTTCCTGTCCAGAGGGCCTGGGAATTTACAAAACCCACTGAGATGTGTCATATGTTCACTCTGATATTTTCCCCTCAGGCTATAAAATAAATTCTTCTGATTGTAGTCATTAGGGAAGATAGAGAAGAAATTAGCCATGGCCCAACCACTTTCAACATGATTTGCATATCACCTTCATTTTTACATCCTGGTGATAGTTCTACATACAATATAGAAATGGAAAGTTTTCATAGTTGATATTCGGTAATTCATGTATTTTATTCAAATTCAATTTTGCCTGTACTGAACCAAATGTATCTTCCACTACTCCTCCATGGTTTTTGAAATATAAAAAATAATGCTGTGAAAACTTTAAAATTAGATGTGTACCCACATTTTAGGCAAATAGCTCTGCACAAAATCATACAAGTTGCCACATATTACCACATTCCTTTAACCAGGAACATAAACCAGGGCTTGCACTGTTGTTTCCTTCCAGTACTGATAATTAAATTGGATAATTTGCTAAGTTTAGAGGTAAAATGTATGTCAGATCATTTAAAAATAATCTTGATTTTGAGAAATGCTAATAATATATGGATCAAAAAAGTAAGTGGTGAAAACATTTCACATATTTCCTGGGCACCCCCTAAGTGCTGGGCCCTCCTGGTGCTGAGGGTAGAGAGCAGCAGACATCACTGCAGCTCCTGCCCTCACGGCCTGGCCTGTGCTGTGGTCTTGGGAACACAGGTCACTGCATCTTCAACTTCACATTTACAGAAACTCTCAACAGTTTGCAGTATGTCTCCTTTATTTCTCAAGAGGATAGCTAAAAGCATAAAATGACTTTCAAAAATGTATAACTAAGTTAAAAAATAAGAAGTTGAAGTCATAATTCAAAAACGAACCATAAGGCTGGCCAGTATGGCTCAGTGGTTGAGCACAGACCCATGCACCAAGACGGGGCAGGTTCGATTCCAAGGTCAGGGCACATGCCCAGGTTGTGGGACAAAAACCCAGTGGAGGGCAAGCAGGGGACAGCCAACTGATGTCTTCTTTCATCACTGTTTCCATGTCTCTCTCCCTCTCCGTTCCTAAAATCAATAAAGAAAAAAAAAAGTATATATAAAAATAAGAATCATGGCAGGCCAGTGTGGCTCAGCGGTTGAGCATGGACCCATGCACCAAGAGGTCACTGGTTCAATTTCTGGTCAGGGCACATATCCAGGGTGTGGGACAGATCTCCAGTGGGGGGCATGCAGGAGGCAGCCAATGGATGTTCCCTTTCTGATGTTTCTGTCTCTCTCCCCTTCTCCCTTCCGCTCTCTCCAAAAGCAGTAAAGAAAAAGAAAAAAGAAACTTAATATATACAAAAGGAACTTTGTTTTTGAGAGAAAAATCTCTAAAAAGTTGATCACAAAATATTAATGGTGAATATTGGGAGAAGGGGAGGTGGTTCGAATTATCACTGTATTTCACATGCGGTTTGCGTGACTGCCATCACTGAAGTACATATTCATAAAGGCCCATAAAACCGAAAATGACTTCGGGAAAGCCAATGACAATCCCATGCAGAGAAAAAGAAATAAATGTCGCTGCGCAATCTCGGCAGGCGCTTCCAGGAAAAGGCGATCTGAAAAGCACAGTGTTTCTGTGTTTAAAAGCCAAGTTTTACTGCTGAAGCCAGGGAAGGAGCCTGTTGGTCAAGGTGGCTGCTGAGCCAGTTCAGACCCAGCACACACCTACCCCGGATGTCAGAAGCCCCAGGAAGTTTTTTGAAGCAGGAAGGGCGGGGGAGCGGCGGGCGGGCGCGTGCACGAAGCACCACTGCCCCCTGCCGGCCAGAGAAAGCGAGGATCGCGACTCGAAAGAAAAATCCATTTTCAGCGCAGACGCTCAGAGCTAAGTAAGAGATCCTGTTGCTGGTGGAGTCACAAGCGATGCTGAGCAGTATGAATAAATGAAAAAGAATGTGCCAAAAGGGCCCAGCAAGGCCATGTCCCTAGCGCGGCCTCGGAACCACAGCCACAGGGGCCCCAGTCCAGGCCACAGCACAATGGCCGCCAGGAGCCTGCATGGCTCCCAATGGTGCGTTGTGAGCATGCGCGCTGGTGGCCAGTGAGGGTTCTGCCAGTCCCCTGAGAGTGTCTACAGGAGGGTTTGTCCAGGGTCCTGCTGCAAAGTGTCAGCTGCAGGACCGGACCTGTGCTGTGCAGGTTCTGTCATCCTGCTGAGCCCGGCGCCCCAGTGCCCCAGCTGTGTCATCAGTACCCGTCCCCTGTTCATCCACCTCCCGGCCCCTCTCCAGTCTTGAATAAGTCTGTCCTGAGCAATGTTCTCCCTTGCTGGTCACTCCTTGGAACCTTTCAGGTGACCCTGGCCCCAGGAGCCTGACAGGCAACAAGGAGGCTGCACTTCCTCAGGTAGGTTCTTTATTTCTGCCCCATCCTGCATCCACTGTCCAGGGTCATGTTTGGGCATCAGGGAGCCCCAAGCCCTCCATGATAACCATTTCTAGCATTCTCTTGTCTCATCGCCTCAAACCATGCCGTTCCTCCAGCTTCCTTCCCCTAATCCTCCGTTCAGACACCCTTCAGCTCCCAGGGGTCCTTGGTGTGGGCCCACAGCCTTCCACACCTTCCATCAGCCTTGTCCTTACCCAGCTTACCAGGGCTATAAACTCCCCTCTAACACACATCCTTGCTCCTTTCCACCCCCTCCACACTCCTGCTGTGCCCAACCAGGCACACATCCCAACCTGTATCTGAGCACATGAGCACTGAAGACAACAGTTTAATTCTTACTTTTGGTAAATCCATAGCTAGAAGGGCATCGGTTCTCGCTTTCACCCTCATTCTACCAACACCACTGCCTTACTTACTAGCAAACCCTCTTCCATTCCAATGACCTCCCTTCATGATTTCTGCAGAACACAGAAGCAGTGAGGTAGGGCTGCAAACCTGGCATTCTCTGCTGTCCCTGAGATTCCTGCTCCTCACTGCAGCCAGCCCTCACCTGTGCTCAGGAGCCCGTGCCTTCTGCTCAGGGACTTTCCTCCTGCATGTAATCATCTCCTGAAATATCACCTGCTGTTTGTACTTGGGACCATCTCACAACTAATGAGGGAAACCCAACCCCCTTTCCCACATGTCATTCTGCACGTACTGGCACATTAATGGATGATTTTCCGAGGTAAAGTGCTTCAACTTCTCCTGAGACCATTTGCTCCTCAGTCCCCTTTAGTAATGGCCTTAGCGCCTATCACTGCGCTGCAACTGGTCTACTGAGGGCCACCATTAATGTCCCCATTTTCTGACCCCACAATCGCTTTTCTATACTCACCTTAGATAGCCGCTCTGCCCTCTCAGGCACATTTACTCAGTCCATTCTCTACCACCCTATTTTTTTTATCTATTTTGGAAAGAAGGAAGGATTTTGTGCCAACATATTCTCCTGTTGTTCTCAACAAGTACACACTGCACAGTCTGCCCTGTGGACATGGGTAGAGTGTGTGACATCTTGCATCTGCACGTAAGAGAAGCCAGAGAAAAGAGCATCAGGTTCAGTTACAGGAGAACGATCTACAGACACAATGGCAGGCAGGGATCAGACACCCCAGTGAAGGGTGGTGAGTGAAGAAGGAGGAGGAGGAGCTCCAGGTAAAAGTGTAACACCTGACTCACTCGAGGGACAAACAGGAGGACACTGTACAGTGATCCAGCGGTCTCTTTGCGCAGAGGGCCTCTGGAGTTTAGGAACATAGCTTTCTGGACCGAATCTTGGTTCCTGTTGTGCTGTAGGTGAGACCCCAGGGAACTGCAGTCCTTGAAGGGGGATGTAGAAGGTGGCTGACCCAAGCCGGGGGTTCCGGAGGGAAGCCTAAAGAGGCAAGGGGGAAATGACCCTATGACTGAGGCTGTGCAGTGGGCACTCCTGTCCAGGGTGGTATGGATGCCACACCGACTCAGAGGGGTCGGCACAGTTATGTGAAAATGAGTCGGCAATGGAGCCCCAGTTCCTGACCAAGAGGCCAGAGTCAGAAATGCATGCATCATGCACGGAGAGCTTCCCCTGTTGGATCTTGGCGACAGGGGTCACCATTTCCATGAAGACCACGGAGGGCAAAGTGAGCTGCAGCGGTGTGTCAAAGACCCCTGTCCTCACAGACACACAAACCACACATGCAAGGCCCTTCCCCAATGTGGAAGGAAGTGGGGATGTGGGGAAGGAATCTGAGCGTGAGCATTATCACTAAGAGTCACTGAGCATTTGTATACATGGAACATTCACGTTTGCATCTCAGCACACTTAGCAGATCAGAAGCAAACTCAGAGTTCCTGTCCTCCCCTTCATTCCAGCTCAGAGGGCGGGCTCTGCCCAGGAAGATCAGCGCCATCAGGCAGAATGAAGAAACCAAAGTGCGCTGCAGCCTGGGGAGCAGCAGTGAACCTGGGATGTCAGCACACCATCCCCACAGGTCCCCCTGTGCCCACCTTCCCATCTGTTCCTGGGAGAGGAGGCCTTGGGGTCCTGGCCTCCCCCTCTCTGTGACCCAGGACAACGTCTAGCATGCCATCAGCAGACCCCCACAACATCACAGAAAGAGGAGAGGCGCAGCCAGACTCACGGGGTGCAGGAGCTGATGAGGGTTGTCACTGAGGTGAGCAGGGTCCCTCAGGGCCGTCCTTGCCTCCACAGGCGATGCCAGGCTCCTCCTTTAAGGACACAGGCCTTCACTTTAAGCAGGACTTGAAGCTTCAGAAAGGTTTCCAGAGTCAGAAAGTAAATAATTTTAAGAGGAGAATGTAGTGTTTTCCTTCTTATTTCTTTCAAAGGTGAATCTTGCCCGTGTCCTCCCTAGAGTTGAGAAGCCGGGGTGAGAATCCCAGTTGTGGCTGTCACACCAGGCGTATTTCCCACGATCTCTTGCAAATGCCTCTGTGTCCTCAGAGAATCTATTATTCAAGGGGGACCTGCCCTTGTCTCCCACACATCGGGGCCCTGAGCACAGGCACTGCCTTTTGTCCAGGGGGAGCAGCGATCAAACCCTCCTCGTGACGGGCAGGTCTCAGGTCTCCTCTTATGGGAAAGTGTGTTGTCCCCAGGGGAGAGCCCACAGAATAATGCAAAACCACAAGTACATGTCAGAATCAGGGTCAGGTGTCACAGGCCTACTTTACACAAACTATGTGACTTAGAAACATCTACATCCCCATTGCCTTGTATGGTTCTTTTACTGAGAAAGTTGTACCCTCTGCCCCCTTCATCTTAAGGAGACTGAATTCTTTTGAAGTCCTAGAGTTTCTCAAGAGGAAATCAGGGACTAGTCCTAAAGAAGCCACCAGTGTCCTGTTGTCTCACCCTGCTGACCTAAAGGGGTCAAACTGTAGGAAGGGCTTCGTTCTATTTCCACAGTCATGTCCCACATCATCCCCTTTCCTCATCTGTTGCTGTCTCAGCTCTGACCCTACCCTCCCTGACCTCCAAAACACGTTACGGAGCTTTAGACAGACAGGGATTCCTGCACAAAGACCCTGAGTTCTTACAGTGCTGGCTGTGGCCAGGTGGCAATGACACAAATCTGTGGATGAACCCTGCTCCTTCACCAGAGGAGGAGCAGGGTTTCATGGTGACCTGAGCTCTGTGGCCCTCGGGTAAAATACTTGAAAAGTCCAGTCAGGTTTCTCCTTGCACTTCTGACAACCCGCCCTGCCTGTTTGGTGATCTGGGGCTAGATGGATACCCCACCTCTGCAGGGGCTATATTCAAGAGGGGGTTCTTTTCTCTTGCTCCATGGCCTGGCCCCCGTTCCTCATCTGAGGTTTCCTAAAGCACATTCTCATCATCACCAGATATGAGTGATCGAGGGCAATCTCATCCACAGGGCTTAGATTTGGAGATGCTTTACATGTATCCAAGTCTAGGACACAGAGAAGACAAATCTCTTGTAGCTTCTCATACCTTCCTAGGCTTCTATGGTCCTGAAACAAGAAATGTCCTTGCAGAGGACACTTTGTCTGAATCTCAAGGCTCTTCAAATGCCCCCGTCTCCAGCTCCTGCCATCACCCCACAGCAAGCCCCCTGCATCCAGCACCCTCAGCACAGGACTGCAGTCTGGTCCTCCAGTGTGACTCATTTCCCTCTTATACCACCTTGGCCACAACTGCCCAAGCTTTCCTCGCTTTCTGTGTTAACTCAATCTTGTTACCCCCAACTCGACCGATTTAGGCTTTTTACTAGGAAGAGGTAGTATCTCCTCACCCACAGCTCTGTGGTTACAGGGTAAGAATGGGCGTGGCAGTGAGGGCGGGTCTCCCTGCAGTCCCAGTGCTGCTTAGAATCCCCGCTCCTCCCTCCTCAACTTAAAGCATCTCCTCTGAGCTTCATGCCAACCTCCAACCCCGTGTCATCTATTCAACAGTCATCAGGACCCTTAGGAATTTCTGGTACCTGCAGCACAGGGTGTTCTCTCTTGTTTTGGTCACAGTAAAGAACATACTGAAAATCAATCAGCCCTCTGCTACTAATGCCGGTGTCTTAATTCCTTGGAAGCCAAGCTTCATGAATGTGTAGACTCCAGTAGCAGTCCCTTTTGGTTACCTCTGTTCCTCCTCAGTGACAGTTCAGGACAGAGGAGTGATGATAAGTGCAGGAGCAAAGTCCCCGAGCAGGTGGGACCCATGGGACCCTGAGCACAGGCGGGGCTGGCTGCAGTCAGGAGCAGATACGCCCAGGAGCAGCAGAGATGTCAGGGCGAAACCAGGTGGACTGGGTTTGGGGAGCTCTGAGAAGTCACCCCTCATTGCTCCTGTCTTCCCACTGGAATGGAAGAGGGTTGCTAGTGAGTAAGGCAGTGGTGTAGGTAGGATGAGGGTGACAGTGAGGAGCAATGCTCTCTTGTCGTGAATTTAAGACCATTCAGTAGGTTGAAAAGTTTTGTCATCAATGCTCAGGTCCTCACATACAGGCTGGGTTGTGTCCCTTATTGGGGCAGAACAGGAGAGGGGAGAAAACAGTAAGAAAGGGGTAGTCTAGCCCTGGCCAGTGTGGCTCAGCATTTAGAGCGTCAATCCTGTGGACTGAAGGGTGTTGGGTTCAATTCCAGTCAAGGGCACGTACTTGGGTTGCAGGTTCGATCATGGCCCAGGTTGGGACATGCTGGAGGCAACTTGTGGATATTTCTGTCATTCTCTGTGTGTGTGTGTTCCTCTCCACTCCATCCCCTCCACTCTCTCTAAATATCAGGGGAAGATATCCTGCGGTGAGGATTTGCAAGCACAAAAAAACTACAAATCAACAAGCAAAAAATCCTAAGGGTTAGTTTATAGCCCTTGATAGACTGGATAAGGCAGGGCCTGCGGGAAGATGAGGAAGGCTGTGGGGTCCACATTGGAGGCCCCCAAACTTTGAAGGTTGTTTAAGAAGAGACTAGAAGGAGGGAGCTGGTTGACTTTTGTAGAGTGTTGAGGTGCTGACAGAGGGGAATGTACAAGTGGACACCACGGAGGGTCAGGTGGTTTCCTTTGGTTCAAGGCAGGAAGGTGAGGTAGGTGATGCTCAGGTGATGAGGAGAGAAGAACACTGAGGTCAGAGAGACTCCAGGGTTGACCTACTGAGGCTCATGGGTATTGATATTACCAGGAGGTTTCACAAGAATGAAGGCTGAGAGGAGGTAGGTGATTGTGCCAAGGCACCATCGTGTTCATAGGCTAGGGTCACCAGGGAATTGGTACACACCCCATAAGTGGGGCAACTATGGCAGTGGGGCCATAGGACCTGGACATCATATCCCTGACTTCAGCTGACAGTGTACAACAAGGTCTCAGGGGGACCATCTAGCTGCGTGGAGCTGGGCACTAGCACTGCCCTCACTTTTGGCCCTAGTGCAGGTCTAGAGGCCTGCAAAGGAAATGCATCTCTGAGTCCTTTCTGGTGGCTTCTGAGACCTGAGCCTTCTGCCACTGTTGCTCTGGTTCCGAGGCGGGACTAAGAAAGAGGTGGTGCTTGAGTTGTTTTGCTAGGGGTCTCTTGGGCTCATCCTTGCTGTTTTTTGTGCGGTTTTTTTTTAATCCTCACCCAAGGACATTTTTCCATTTTTTGGTTCAGACAGAGTGGGAGGGAGAGAGAGAGAATCATCAACGTAAAAGGGACACATCAAGTGGCTGCCACCCGCACAACCAACCAGGGCCGGGGACAAACTGCAACCAAAGTATGCGCCCTTAATGGGAACTGAACCCGGGTATCTCTGGACCACAGGCTGATGCTCTAACTGCTGAGCAAACTGGTCAGGGCATCCTTGCTGTTTTTGAAAATATACATTTTTTGTTTCTTTCTTTTATAATATTTTTTCTTTATTATTATTATTTCTTTCTATTTATCATTCGATAGTGTGGGAGTTATGGAGAGAGAGACTGAGAAAACCATCGATGTGATAGAGCCACACTGACTGTCTGTGTCACGCAGGCAGGCCTGACTAGGGCCTGGGACAAACCAAAGCCCAGGTAAGAAACCATGGTAAATGCCTTGGACCAAAATCGAACCTGTGACTTATTTGTCCCCAGGCCGAGACTCTAACCACTGAGATAACCAGCCATAATCCTTGCTTTTTTGGAGCACCACTGCTATTAATTATGGTGTCCTAAGAAATAGTCTGTCGTGTTCTTTGTAAATTCATTAGAAAAATAGAATTTTCTGCAAAGGATAATGGCTCTGAGTTTCTCTGATCAGCAGGGGGCAGTGTGGATCCACGAAATATTTTCTTCCCCTCCTTTCCTGTTTGAAAAAAACCATCTGGGGAAGAATTGGCCCATTGTTTCTGCAAGGGAGCTGCTGGCTTCTTCCTGGGGTAAACTGTTCCACTGTAGAGCTTACTGAAAACTGGGAGCCTTGTGTGCTCAGCATGTATTTCTGGTTCTCACAATGGGCTTCCCATTGGCTTTAATCAGTAGATTTTTCAGTTACCTGAGCCGCTCAGGCCTCCATGTAGGAAAGCTGAAGGACTGATAAATTATAGTAAGGTAACCTAAACCAGTTTTATCATGCACCAAAGACCAGTCATAATTTGTGATACATTTCTTTAGAGGTCTTCCCATCCATAAAAGTGCATTGCACACAGAATGAGGTTCATATTGCATTGTGACTTCAACCTCTTTTATTTTATTTATTTATTTATTTTATCCTCACCCGAAGACATTTTTCCTGTTTTTGTTCAGCTAGAGTGGGAGGGAGAGAGAGAGAGAGAGAGAAACATCAATGTGAAAGGGACACATGGAGAGGCTGCCTCCCGCACGACCCAACCAGGGCCAGGGACAAACTGCAACCGAGGTACGTGCCCTTAGCGGGAACCGAACCTGGGTCTCTCAGGACCACAGGCTGACGCTCTAACCGCTGGGCAAAACCAGCCAGGGCAACATCTTTTATTAAACTCAGGTTTTTAGCATGAGTTATCTGTTCTAAAAATCATTTGTAAGGACTTGAAGAATTTTTACTCATTTCTGTTCTTATTTGTCTATTTAATCTTAAACAGTGAAAATTCGATATTTGATGACTCATAGAGAAACCAGAAGTAATCTGTGACTCTTATCTCAAAGAGAAATACAATACTGTAACTTTGCTAAGGACAGGAGCTGTATTTTTTTGTTTGTTTTGCTTAACACTGTATTTTCAGCATAGGAAATCCACTTGTCTTGTCTGTCCTCCAGCATCCTGACTTGGTTGCCCCCATGGGGAGGGCCAGTCCTGTCCAGCGGGCCTG